CGAGCGTTTCTCTGGTTTCTGGCAAGTAATGGCGACTAAGGGTATCTGCTAGTTGCATTTCATTCCCAGGCTTGTATGTAACCTTGAGGTCATACCTTTGTAGGCTCATCATCATCTTCTGCAATCGCGGAGGTGCCTGATGAAGATTCTGTGCTAAGATCCTCTCGAGCGGTTTATGGTCAGACTCCACGTGCACTGTTCGTCCATAAACGTACTGATGAAACTTCTGGCAGGCGTAAACTATTGCAAGTAACTCTTTCTCAATCTGTGCAAACTTCTGCTGCGCAACAGTCAAGGCTCTAGAAGCATATGCAATCGGCTTGTTCTCTTGTAGCAATACTGCACCAAGTCCGTTAGCACTAGCGTCAACGTTGAGGGTGACAGGCTTGTTTGGGTTGTAGTAACCCAGTACCGGAGATTTGGTTACCATCTGCTTGAGTGTTTGAAAACTTTGTTGCTGTTCTTTGTTCCAACGCCAGACTACTCCTTTCTCCAATAGTCGTCTGAGAGGTGCACTTTCAGCAGCTAGATTAGGCAGAAATTTTCCAAGGTATTGGATAAAACCTAGGAATGTTCTGAGTTCTTTAACATTCTGTGGTGGTTGCATCGCTTCGACTGCTCTGACCTTCTCTGGGTCCGGTTTCAAACCCTCACTGGTCAGGAGATGTCCTACATAGGGGACATGGTCTTTCCTCACTTGGCATTTCTTGCTATTTAACTTGAGACCAACCTCTCTCGCTCTGTTTAGGACTTGTCTCAACCTTGCATCGTGCTGGTCAGTACTGCTGCCCCAGATCAGTATGTCATCCACAATTGCTCCTGCAATGGGCTCTGCTCCAGGTATGCCCTCCAACATCTCGGTCATGTATCTCTGGAACACCTCAGGGGCCGATTTGATTCCGAAAGGGAGCCTTTTAAATCGATACCTCCCGAAGGGGGTGTTGAACGTGCACAACTTCGAGCTTTCCTCGTCTAATTCTATTTGCCAGAATCCTGATGTTGCATCCAACACAGAGAATACTTTGGCATCTGGCATGTCTGCAACTATCTCTTCAATCGTCTTCATAGGGAAGTGTTCTCGTTTAACAGCTAGGTTTAAATCTCTAGGATCTAAACAGATGCGAATCTTATTCGGCTTGACCACAGTAACCATACTGCTAACCCATGCTGTTGGTTCGATTTGCCTCTCTATCACTCCTGCTTTCACCATTCTTTCAAGCTCATCTTTGATTCTGCCCTTCAGTGCAACCGGTACCTTTCTTGGTGGATGTACCACTGGGATGACTGATGGGTCAATTCTGATGGTATGTTTACCTGGTAAACATCCAAGCCCGTGGAAGAGATCTGGATATTCTAGTAGAATATCTGGACGTGCATCAGTAATAACCGACGAGTCTATGACAGAGTTCACCCGCTGGACTAAATTGAGATCCTTGCATGCTTGTGCACTTAAGACGGACAGCACATCACCTTCTGCAATGTGAAACTTCATGGGGTACGTTTTGTCCTTGTGTTCGCATAAGAGTGTTGTGCAACCATGAATAGGTATCTGGTGACCAGAGTATGACCTTAACTTGGCTGCTGTAGGTTGAATTGTTGTCTCCCCTCCTAGAGTCTTTAACGTCGTTAAAGACATAACATTGCATTTCGCTCCAGTGTCTAACTGAACAATAACTTTCTTGTTGTTGACGGTCAGCTCTTCGCGCCATTCACTGAGACTAACTGCATTTACTGCGTCTATACAACCCACATAAAACATGTCATCTTCACTTTCGCTGCTGGTTTCTTTTGTCCGAGCTTCATTGCCACTTCCGCATTTTTCCACATATCGGACAGTTCTTCTCTTCTCTCTTGACTTGCAGACTTTGGCAAAATGATTTAACTTGGCACAAATCAGACATTTCTTTCCCTTAGCCGGACATTCTGCTTTACTGCTGTGTATGTAGCCACACATTCCACACTCCTGTTCAACTCCCGGTCTGCCAAGTTTCCTCTTGTCCAATTTCTCACTCTGCCTTCGAGCTTGATTCACTTTAACAGCGTGAATCTTGCTGTCTTCGTCCTCCATGGTTTTGAGTTGCGTTTGAGACATTTCCAGTGTGAGTGCAATTTCAACCGCTTTCTCTAACGACAATTCAGATCCTTCTTGTATCAACTTTTCTCGCACTTTCTTGGAGTTGCAACCAATGACAATTCTATCCCTGACCATTTCGTCTGGATCTGCATATCCACAATCTTTCACTAGCAGCTTGAGGTCAATAAGAAACTGTTCGAATGGCTCATTATCGCCCTGAACTTTCTTGTGAAACTTGTATCTAGCAAATACCTTATTCGATTTCGGCTTCACATGGGCTTCGAACCTCTCGTAGTAGCTGTTAAGCTTTTTCCTCTCCATCTCCAAACGTCCAGGTCTGATATATGTCTCTTCCCTTTTCTCCTACCCAAATCATGAGATAATTGCATTTCTGTTCCTCCGATTTCGACTTTAACGGTCCGCCAAACATAAATTCAAGATGGCGTCGAAACGACTTCCACGCAGTCGGTAAATCCTTGCTGTTCCAGTCCATTTTTGGTGTATTTGCCGATGACATTTCCTCCATTTCTTCTTAAACGTGATACGGAACTCTTTTTCACGATGGATGGCTACTCTAACGGGTCATTCAACTCGATTTACTCCTGGTACCATGTAATGTACGACCAAGCCACACCATGTTGAGTGTAACAACTGATTTAATTAGTTACCCGTCATGCCTAGTACAGGCATGGCATTAACATACTTGAGGAAAATAAGATATTACATAATTCCCAAATTGGCTTTTTGCCTGAAAACCGCACTGCGGACCATGTTTTCACTCTAAGGACCCTAATAGATAAATACGTGCATTATCACAAGGAAAAAGTCTACGCTTGTTTCGTAGATTTCCGCAAAGCGTTTGACTCTGTTTGGCACGAAGGATTGTTTTATAAGCTGCTAAAAACGAATATAGGAGGAAACTTGTACAACCTCATGAAAAGCCTTTTTTGCAACTCGACATGTTCCATCAAAATCAGTGAAAACAAAACACAGCCTTTTTCATATTCCAGAGGTGTACGTCAAGGCTGTATTTTAAGCCCTCTTTTATTTAATCTCTATTTAAACAATCTACCACATTTATTCGAAAACACCTTATCTGAACCATTTGTTCTTCCAAATGGGAAAAAAATAAATCCACTTTTGTACGCAGATGATTTAGTTATTCTATCAAGATCGAAAACTGGATTACAGAACTGTTTAAATGCGCTTTCCTTGTATTGTGACAAATGGAAGCTAAAAATTAATCCGAAGAAAACAAAAATTATGATATTCCAGAAACGCCCAAAAAAATCTATTGACATCAAATTCAACATAGGTAGTGAGTCAACTGAAATTGTCCAAGAATACACTTATTTAGGTACACGTTTAACTCCAACGGGAAACTTTACACTTGCACTCGAACTCTTAAAAGAAAGGCCCTTCACGCGTTTTCTAGTATTCGGAAGCGGACAATCCTTAGCAAACTTAATCCTAATACTGCATCCCAAATTTTTGACACCATGGTATTCCCAATCTTGAGTTACAACAGCGAGGTATGGAGAATGTACACCAAGCAAGATTTTAAAAAATGGGATAGCTCCCCAATAGAAAAAATCCACCTCAAATTCTGTAAACGTTACTTAGAGGTTAACAATAAGGCCTCTAACATAGCTTGCAGAGCTGAACTTGATAGATTGCCGCTGCTTATCCCGATAAATCAGAAAATTATGAAATATTTTGTTTACCTCAACAACAAAGATAATGACTCTATAGTCAAACAGTCTTTCCTTATGTCAAAGAATCTACGTTCTATGAATAATTCAGGATATTTTTCCAATTTCATAAACATGTTTGAACAATACAATCTAACCAGTTTAGATGCTGAATCTCTAGATAATGATAAAATTAGACGATATACCACAGAAATGAGAGAGAAATATCTATCTTTTTGGCGGCACAGCCTTAAAAATTCAAAAAAACTAGAATTTTATAAAACTTTTAAAGATGAATATTCTACATCTGATTATCTCTACCAGCTAAGACATTATGACGAACGACAGAATTTTGTTAAATTTAAAATAAGTAATCACCAACTTATGATTGAACATGGTCGATACCAAATCGATCATTTGCCGAGAGAAAATAGATTATGTCCCTTATGTAACTCAAACCAGGTAGAAGATGAGATTCATTTCCCCTTTCAATGAAACAAATACTCAGTACAGAGACAGGCATTTATTAATCAAATCAATCGAAAAATACCTGACTTTGACAAGAAATCATCTCCAGAAAGCATAAAACTGATAATGAATTCGAAGGAACATCATGTAAATAAGTTGGTTATGAAGTTTGTTTTCTCCTGTATGAAAATACGTGATTCATTGTTAGTAATGTAACTGAATTATCCTAGATTATTATTAGTGCTGTTTGTTCTATATTTTGGTTGTCGTATGCATGCTTTTGCAATGCTGTAAAATGATGCGGTCATGCAAATAAAGCAATTTATTACTATTGCTAACACTGCCACTACTACTGCCACTGTCACTACCACTGCCACTACTACTACAACTGCTACTATCACTACCACTACCACTACTACTGCCACTGTCATTGCCACTTCCATTACTACTGCCACTGTCAGTACCACTACTACTGCCACTACGACTGCCACTGTCACTACCATTACCACTGTCGCTGCCATTATCACTGCCACTGCCGCTACCACTACTACTTCCTCTACCACTACCACTTCTACTGCCTCTGCCACTACTATTGCCTCCTCCTACTACCACTACCACTGGTGCTACTACTACCACTAGGGCTGCTACTACTAAAACTTCAGCTGCTGCTGCTATGACTAGCCTTACTACTTCCATCATTGCATTCACCAATGGTGTTCCTTATTAAATATCTGTAGACATGAATTTATTTGTATACATGTCTTTAACAGGTGTCCGCTGGGGAGGAGTTAGAAAGTGATAGGTACTTGATAACTATAGAGGAAAGGCTGGACTCCTCTGCTGACCACGCCCAGGGGTGCAATTCACAGAGAGAAGAAGAAATAGAAGTTAGTAACACACCTGGGATTTATCAACCAAACAAAAGGAAAAGACAAGTATGTGTCAGCTTAGAGTACACCTTGAAGGGTCTATATAGGCTCGAATTAATTTAAGAGTTTTTTTTTTTTTTAATGAAAATGGATTTTGTAAAGTAATAACACAGGTAATTTAAAGTCGGAACACAAATTTAAGATATATTTAATAATAGAATAACTTTTTAATTTGTGCAAAAAGTCTTCGTAACTCCTGGATAGTAATACATTTGAGCTCATATTAATGATATTGATTTGTGTAACTCTTTGTAGTGTTTCCAACCGCCAAAAATTAATCAAACTACACCTGCACTATCAAGGCACCTTGGACCTGAATACAAAAAGGTACTCTGTACTGAGAAAGTTGTAAGGGAGCACTGCAGGCAATATATATGTTTGTTTACCCATTCACCCTTGAACCGCCCATAAGCACGGAGGCAGTTCCATAGCCTGCAAGCATTCTCGCCGGAAGTGAGCGGCGCCCCTCGCATTTGCGTCTCCTATCGCGCAAGGCTCTCGCGTGACTTCTCGCGTCTCCCCTAAATGGAGAGCTTGCTCACAGGCTAGCAGTTCCATGTCCCTTGTACCACTTGGGTCATCCTCAAATTTAAATATTCACCATCAACCTGGACATATAGACTTACTTATGTAATAGAAAAAAGATCTTTCCAAACATACCTGAACGAGCATGATTCACTGAAACGGGCTGGAGAAAAACCTATTACAACATGAAAGGCTGACCCAAACATTCCAATGAAAATGTAGTTCCACTACCCAAAAGGACTTCCTTCCGTCTAATCGTTAAAGTTTTCCAAGTGCCCCTATAGAAATGATGACTGGTAAATGCCCAGCAAAAAAATAAATTATTTAAAAAAAGTCAGGAAAGCGAAAGTAAAGGTGAGGAGAGGAAGCGAATGGTACATGAACTAAAGTCGAGGGGCCAGTGTCACTTTTAAGCCCTTAAGTCATTAGGCCAAAACTTGTTTCGTTCTGGTTTTGGACCATTTCACATTCTTCTTTGTTAACATCCTACATTAAATTCCTTTTCAGCCACGAAGAGAAAATGTCCTTCCAAAAAATACGAACCTTAACACCGCAGATTCTAGAGTTCCTAGTAAAATTGACTTCTTCAACCTGTACAGTACTTACTCCAGTAATCGAGAGGTGGAGGGTCATTCTCGTCACCATGGAAATAAGCAGGAGATTCCCAGCTATAACAGCTCTTCAGTGTTGCAGAAATCAAACTTGCAAAATTTGTGTGTTACACCGCAACGGCATGACCAAGTTGTTCCACTAAATGTAAATGGGCCTTCTAAAGGTGGAGTGCAGAAAGAGAACAAAGCCTTGACTAACTCGGTGCCCTCAAAGTCAACCATACCATTGCAAAAAGGAAGCTTTAATAACATAAGTTTCTCTGAAGGCAAACGTAATACTACCCAGATCCTGGCATTATTCTCAGCGTTTAAGAATACCCCTCGACTACAACTGTTAACAGATGCAGAAAGCAAGAATACTGATCAAGCAAGCATTGAGCCAACTGGAAAATCACCTTTGCCTTTTGAGGGGAATTTGGACAAAAGCTCATCTCCAAAGGATGCAGTAAGATTAGGTGTGGAGACAAAAGGCTCTTCTGAGACAGCTTACCAACCTCAAATAAATGCTACAGACAGTGATTCACCTGAACAGGACCTGATGTCGAGTGAAGATCTCTTCAACTCTTTTAATTCATCCCCGGATTCGTTTGCAGCTTGTTCCTGTGAGAAGAAAGCTGAGGTAGCTAGTGTAGTTGGTCAAATAAGCCCCACTTGTGATGTTGCCTTTGTAGCCACACTACCAGACGATGATTCACAAGATTGGGAGTCCCATTGCGAGACACAATTGAACGATGTCTGGTCACATGATTCTGAACCAGTCTCTCCTTTGATGAAACACCTGACAAGTGCAGTCCAAGATCACGATAATTCTGATTCTGAAGCTAATGCCAAAAGTAAGATGAAAAGAGGATGCCTTTGCGACTTGTCAAGTAATAACAGTCAACTGCCGAAACACTTCAATATTCAGAGCTCTAGTTCCCCTACTGCACACCACTCCTCTTCAGTCTTGCGCCCATCTATGGACTCGTGCTTAATTCAGAAATACCCCCAAGGCTCTTATGCGTCAGAAAAGACAATTGGTGAAGCAGATTTCATACACGCGAGTCCTTTAACAGACCAAAACCTACTTTCTTTGAGATCGGAAGCTAGCACACGCCTTGCGGGAGCAAATGCAAAAGATGTTTCACTTAGAGATTATGAAAACATACCTCAAATGCGGTCAAGAACTGAACAATTTAGTGTCGAAATAAACGGATTTTCCAGTCACCCGGGATCAGCATTTGCGTACACTGCACTGGAATGCGTGGAGCGATCGGATAAAAGTTTGCGGGACAAAAAGTTTGGGAATTTGGAGCCTTGGAATGCATCATTTGGTTTAAAGGATCTGGAAGACACTGATAATGGGCTATCACCAGAGTTCTACCCACCAGACAGTGGAAAAATAACCCAGTGGAGAGTTGTACCCATTGTCTCAACTAAAGTGGTTCATACTGACTCTCGAACGGTAAGCAACGTGCTGTGTGAACTATTTTGCTTTGTACCTGTCGGGTACTGCTCTTAGGGTCTAACACAAAACTTGGTGTTGGTAATCCTGTTGACTCTGAAGATGACTACCGCACAGGTTGTCGAAACGTCAGTCACTGTCAACAACAATCCTATTCAGGACTACGCTCACCCGGAATATCATATTGCACTTACTTATGAAATCTTAACATTGCTTAATTTTGTGATCGCCGTGTAGAGCCCACACGGAGAGCCAAAACTTTCATAACAGTAGCTCAAGTTCATAAATACAGTCAACTCTCTTTATATAGGACACTGTAGATACCTCAAGTTAGTGTCCTCATTAGCGAGAGTCCGTAAAAGCGGGAGTTCATTTCAGTCAAACATCTCTAATATATTTTTGGAGAGGATTTAGCTGCTGTCCGTATTATCGGGGAGTCCGTTATAGTGGAATGTCCGCAAGGCGAGAGTTGACTGTATCACCCAGTGACCCTACTGATTAAAATGAGCAGGGGACCTTAACACCTCAGTGGTGATACTACCTTTTCATGGGTTGTTTCGGAAAGGGGCTGTGTCAGGACCTCGGTAATTGGCAAACGCTGTTGTGGTATCCTCGCCATATCTGGTAAAAGTGATAAACTGAGTTAAATGATGCAAAATGTTTAACTGGTCACCTTAGAATTAGTCATGGTCGTTTACATTATACGAAAGGAATCGGTAACGACAGGTTTCGACAAGAGCAGTGTGATTGGGAAAGTTGTGTTCAGTTTTGGTATTTTGATGGGTGGTCGCACATGGTAGTTCAGGAGTAGTAATTTAATGATCAGCAGTCTTATTACTGCGCTTTTCAATAACACGCGAACTCTGAAGGTAAAAAGCTAAATTAGCAAATGCAATTTTCGTTGGCGTCAATTATAATTATGGTCACAAACAACGGGCCTTCAAGCACAGCAAAACCCAACATGGATCAAAATCCCATTATCATAACCTCGTCAACTCGTTGAAATAAACGCCTGTTTTTTGAGAGGTCCGCTGAGATGATTTACAGCTGCAAAGAAAGCAAATGTGTAGTTAGTTTTTGAATTTTAAGGTAAAATTGATTTTCCCATGTTACACACTGTTATAAAACGAGAAAGAAATTATGAATGGCACTGAAGTGATTGTCATGTAAATGGTGCTTTTATACTGTGTTAGGTGAAGGCAGGTAAAGGTCACTCGTGGAAAGGCTCTGTGGTTAGCGATACAGTGAAAAGAGGTTCACATTCTGTTCCCATGGTAACAGTTCAAAGGCAAGAACTCTACACTTCCACTACATGACCTCAAGGTAAGAATAGTTGCATGGTGTAGTCCGGTGAAGTAGTACGAGCTTGAAGAAAGAAGATGTTAATCGACATGTATGTCACAAAGGTCGGACAAAGGAAGCATCTTGAGTCCCCGACATTGATCTTGGGTTCCGGATTAGCACAGTCCGTTAGTGCGCGGCCTTATTTAAGAAGCTTGAATACCCGTAAAACGAGCACTGATGGAGAAAGTGGGGGTGGTGGTGGTGGTGGTGGTGGTGGGGGGGGGGGGAAATGGGTTAGTTGAAAACTTAGAGATACTTGGTAGTTGTGACATTGTGACATGACGATTACAGTTTTATCCCCCTTTACCACTGAGCTTAAAATTTTTTTAAAACAAGCAAGAGCTCGTGTAAATAAATTACAGAAGGATGCAGTGGAAGCAAAGGTTGTGGGGAATAACTCGAAAATTTTTTTCATACTAACCAGTTCAGTCCATACTTTAAGCTTTCCTCAGCCTGTAAACCTAACAAGGTTTCATCCGAACATCAGTGATGAAAAAGAAATGAAACTTAGTAATAGCTATAATATGTTTTTTTCCACTGCAAAAAATTTGTCATATTCATCATTCATTATTTCATTATTTTGCTAATTGACCGCAGGTGATGGTCACTTCTTTGAAGGCTCATAAAGAAGTGATTTAAAACATCCCTTTTTTTGAAGCAGGTCGACCAAACATAATTAGAACCTCTAATTTAGCCACCTTTATATTTGTTAGGTGATCAAAGAATTCCATCGTCTGACTTAACAAGCTGGGTAGACTCAATTTCATCGACGGACGTGTGTGAAGATTCGCCTTCCTTCATGTCAGGTTTGGAGAGGGGATTTGCTACAAGTGAAAGTCTAGCGCTGTCATCCACCAAGGGATTTATAAAGAACAGTCAATTTGCAGATCAAAACCACCCAAGGATTTATGAGG